TACCTTTTGCTAGCAGCAAATTCTACATTACTGTTTGTGTGAGCTACTTGAATTTGCTTACATTGCCTTATCTGTTGCTTCTTTGGTTTATAACAGAACTGAAGCCTCTAATATAGAGTTACCTTTACTCAGTTTGGAAGCTCTCTAGCAAAATAACATCTTGGTCCAAAGCTAGGACACTGAATACTATTTTACTCTTGTCACTGAAGTGATAAATATTACCAAATCAGAATATTGGTAATTAAGAAAACTTTCCTTCTCTAGCAAGTGAAAGAAAATGGTGTGCACATGCACAAGAGGCTTACTGCCTCTTGTCTTTTCTTTCCAAAGACATTTATCTCTGATAGGTCAGTAGCAAGTCATTTCTTAAGGAAAACTCAGCTGAAGGCCACAAAATGCTGAATTTTTTTTGATTGTCAGCTCACCCTGGAATGGACTTTTGCTTTTAGTAGCTTTCCCATTTTCTCACAGGCACAGAATAGTACTTATCTGACTTTATAGGCAGCCATTATGTCTGTTTTATCTATGTACAAAGCACAAGAGAAATAAAATGATAGGTGCCCTGATAAGTTAAGGAGGATAAACTGGAGTCTTCAAATAATACAATTCCTTTTGGCTGATTGATTTCAGGTAAGTGCATGGGACACAAACAACCTTTTTTTTTAAACTGAAAGGAATGCATCTGAATGATGGATAACTGCAGTTCAAATAGAAATGCTTTTAGAAGTTGCTTTATGGAGAATTGGTTCTCACAGTCCCAGACTCCTGCTTCTATTTAGGGTAACTGAATGTTAGTTCCTCAAATTCAAAAGAAATGTGTAAAGGAGGAGAAACCTCTCCTCCTGCTACTATTTGTGACAGTGTGCATGTGAGGGCACCAAAAATCACAGCTCAGTGGAAGTCAGACAGCAATATTCCTAGGAGGACTTGCCAACTTGGAGAGATATGAAGGATGCAGGTCTGTCACCATTAACACCTATAGTGCTTGCCATCTGACAAGAACTATCCTGCCAGTTCTCAGCCCTCATGTCTACTAAAGATACATAGCCCTAGAACTTTGGTTGTTTGGTCTTGGCCAAATCACGCAATCCCATCTTGCTCCACTGCCAGAGAAAAAAGGATTAGACTTGGCTATAGTTGGGCACAAAGTCTATCTTTTTTTCATTTTAACACTAACTAAGTATTAAAAGGAACTTACCATGAATGTAAAGCCATCCTCTCTCTTCCTTCTCTTCTCACTTTCCTCTGTCATAATTTTGCATGTTTTCATATTACAAAGTAACTATTCTTTTCTCAATATAAATTTGAGCCTGTGGTATTGAAGAGTAAGGTCACCTTATAAATGTACGTTTCCTGCTACATAATGTAGGCTTCTCCTTATGAAGATCATGAGCATTTATGGATGTTGATATCTTAGCAGATATGTTATTTTCCCTTTTTTATCTTCAGTTTCAGTTATTTCTGCATTTTTGTGTCCCAAATACCTTCTCAGTACACAGTGTAAGAAGCAGAACAGTGCAGTCATCTTCCTGACTGATGCTACAGAACAGCCAGTGAGAGCAAAAATAACCCCACATGAGGCAGTCAGTATTGTATGAATACAGAGAGAGCAAGAAGCCTTAGTGGATGCAAAGCCTTGTGTATTATTATATTAAACTAGAAATTATTGCAGGAGATTAATCTTAAGGAGCTGGAAAAGCAGGTAAAGACTCTTTGCAAGACATGCTTAGCTTCATTTTACTTTGATTTTAAGCAATAGATTGTGACTGGGAATACAGGCCTATGTTGACAAGAATTCCAACTCTAGACAGGGATACAATGTCTTGGGATTAGGCAACAAGAAACAGTGATACTCTTCATAAAACCTGGCTGGAGTAAGCAAGTAAAGACTGAGAAGAGTTAAAAGCAAATTGCTACTAGCTGGGAGCAAAGCTAAAATTTTGTGGGATGTGTGGGACTGGACAGCTTTGCTCACCATTTGTTTGAGCTCTGCCCTTAGGTACACAGGTTCTTGTGCTTGCAGGACAAAATTTCTACCTACTTACTCATTAGCTAAACTTGGCTACATCTGCTTTGGAGAAAAAACAACCACAAAACCCCATCAACATGGGCAAAGACATGCTCATAGAGCTGTTTTTTCCCCCCAAATACATTCTTAAAACTTTTTTCCTTCCTCACATGTCCACTAGCTTTTAGGAGTATACCACAGCTTCAAATGGTAATGTACCAAAAGGCTGTAAAAACAATGAAGCTGAAATAAATTCACTGGAATTTACCCACTGTCAGCTATCAAGTATTTTGTTTTATATTGTAATTGTTTAAATTACTGAAATGAACATCCAAGATGCATCCTCACTTATGATGACTTAAATAAAAATCTTCATTTTTTTATTCCATTATTAACATTTCTTAGCATAGATTTTAGAGAACAGTATGTTTTTCTTAGGTGTCAATACCTATTTCAAAAAGAAAACAACCCATATTGAATCCATCTGACTCTGGATTAGGAGTCAGATGGACTTCTAATTTTTCATTCAGAACAAAAATAAAATCTGATTCTCAGTTTTTTTTTTTTTTTTTTTTTTTTGTACAGTTCTCCCCTAATTGGGCCCTTTCCCGTTGTCTAATACACATCTTTTTGACTTCTTCAAGTGTTGTTCCTTCCCCTTAGCTTTTTGTCTATGAAATGAACAGGCATATAAAAGGTGTTATTGCCAGAAGAATGAGAATATTTGTGTTAATGCTTAAAAGCAAATGGCGAAATATAGAAATGTTGCAGTCATGTATACTTTTGAAGTATATAACCAAAAAGATTGTTATTTTTCAGTATGTTTTCTTTGGAAACTTTATCATAATCCTCTGTACAATCTTGCACTAGGCATAAATACTGTGCTACATGACAATTTCTTGTTTTAAATTTAGCAGCACAGCTTTGTAGCATCAGGCAGAGAAAAGTAAACCTAAAAAGTTTGGGTGGATAATTTCTGTCTCCCTGAAAGTAATGTATTTCAGAAATAAAATGAATAAATAAATGCTCAGTGCTGCAAGTCACAGCATTAGTGAGTTGAACTGTTAATGTATATGGACATACATTTTTCGTATTAATAAAATATGGATGTACTGTTTGTAATGAAAATATATTTCAGGACATTGGTATGGCAATAATTTCTGAAAATCTGAATTCTGAAGGAAGATTACGACTTGAAGAGATTGAAAATAATGTACTCTTTTTAAGAATCTTTAAAAGAAAACACAAACACTTTTATGATGTCTGCCTAAAGTGCAAAAGACTTAGAAACCAGATTTTCTAGAGTGAAGCATCAGAAACCCTGTTTCAAGATCTGTACTATACAGAAAACATCTGAGAAGACAGTAAAAAAGACAACCTTTGTTTTCACTTTTGGTGAATGAATTCTACAGTGTTTTTGCTTTGCATGTCCAACTATTTCATACTGATTTCTGTCTTTTCCTTCTGTCCCTATCCCTTGTTTTCTAGCTCTGCCCTTGTTGTCTCTTTAATTCTTTTTTCATACTTTTGTCCAGTTCTTGCCTTTCTTGGACATGTTTTCTCTCTCTCATTGTTTTCTCTCTCTCCTTTTTCCGTTTCAGAGCACAAAATTTTGCTTATTTTTTCCCTGTTCATCTGTCCCTTTCAACTTACAGCTGCTAATACACAACCACAGGCTATTCCTTCTGAAAAAGAAGTGGGACTGGGTGGTATTTAAACCAGCGATGCTTGTACTCAGCATTCATTTTTAAAAATTTTCCACTTCATACTGCATTTACCTACTATTTCTAAGTATCCTTAAATCCTTAAATAATTACCCTAGGAAACATTTTAATTCTAAGCACTTTTTGGCCCTTAAAACTGCTCTGGTAGTCAATACATTCATTTTTAACCAAGATTTTTTTTTATTTTTTTTTTCCATCAGAAGTTCCTTTGAAGGATGACTTCACTTGAACTCCTCTTAGGAAGCTATATTCCCCAAGAGTAGCATTTTATCTGCTGAAATATTTCATGCTAGTTTGCTGTGGCTCATATCAGAAAAAAACATGCATGTAGTTGGAATGTTAATTTCTAATGAGTAGTGAAGGGCAATGGAATAATTAATAGATGTGTTACTGAATAATGGAGACTACTGGTAGAGCTTTGCATGTATGTGTAGAACTTAACAGGAGGACTTCTATTATATTCATTGTGTTTTCTATTAAAGACTTAGGGCATGATTGTTAATCATGGAATCTCACTGATATCTATGCAAAGCCTCTCCAGAGTCAGATTAAAATGACAAATTAGAATTGTAGCTTTAATATCTCTTTGCCACCGGCAGTAGTGACAACATGGTTGTCACAGAGTGTATGCTCTACCTTTGCTTTGGGAACATGTAACTGCAAGTGTTTTGTCTTAGTAGGAATGTGAATGCAAGCACAACAGCTCAGAAATCTAAGGAATATGAAGTATGAGCTCCAGGGAAATCCTGGGAGCTACATCTTCACAATGGGTGCATTGTTCTCTGCAATTTGTAAGAGGTGTGGGTAAACCAGTGTTTTCTTATTTCTGCTTTTTCTTGGGTAGCTACCGCTCTGAGGATATAAAAGTTCAGAACCCACTGGGCTGCTTCAGTGTATATAAACTCTTGGTTTCCCAAACACAGAATTTATGCCAGATCTGATTTTTAACTGGCTTAGTTTTCTCCTGTGATTTAAAAAGGTTAATTTGTTTAAACCTATTGACTATATACTGCTGTAGGGCAGAGGTTCTGATTGCAGATGGTTTTTGCTGCTGTAGCCTCACCACTACACTGCCCTGCTTCTCTGCAACTTCTGTGTATTTGAACTTTGAAGAATTCTTCTCCTTACAAAAGTGTAATTTCTTTTAATGTGTTCAGAAATGTTTAACGTGTTTCTGAACATACTTTTTTTTTTTTTTTTTTTTGAGTATTTTGAAGGTGCTAGTTGTAATGAAACTATCATCTGTGGCTTATAACAAAAAAGGATACCTGTGATCAAAGGCATACCATACTCTGAACAGCCATGCGCTCTCAGCTTTGGTTGTATTTTTATCCAACTTAGATGCACTCTGCAAAACAAATAAATAAAAAAGTGAAAAGCATTTTTACATGTATTTCATAAATAAAATATGAAGTTCTAATATTAAAAATACATGTCAAACTGAATAACAATTAACTGATTTATTTTTCTCTTTTAATTTAAAAAGCCTCTTTCGTGTAGGAATGTCATCTCTGTGAATGGGTTCATGAGTCAATGGGCTCACATAGCACATTTCTCATAGTTATATACTCACTAGAAGAGTGCAGCTTTTAGTTTTATTAATGACTCCAATTTTATTAAGCAGCTGAGAAGCACTATATCCTAAGATCAATAGAATGATATTTCGATTTAATTGCTGTTGTGGGATTACTTCAGTTTACACCTACAAACTCAGATGCTATTTGCGTATGGCTAACAAAATGTCATTCCCAAAGGGAATGTGATATTCTAATAATTATGACATTACTTTCTGTGCTTCTTTCCAAGCTTATAGGAACACAAGAGAATAGTAAGGGTAATTATAAGTACCAAAATGCACTGACTCAAAACACTGCTTTCCATGCTGCAACGTAACTCTGGGGCACAGGTAGATGGGCTGTCATTTTACTCAACGTCATATTTTGGAATGATGCATTTGTAATGGTCTTCTGTGCAGACAGATAGTTTGGTCATGCTCTGGGCATCACAGCGGAAGAACCAGTGACAGAATGGAATTAGGAATGGGACTGTCAGATCTCTAAAGGATAATTCATTATTGTCTTGTGTCTGTTTTGCTGTAAGCTAGATTTCTTTTTAATGGAAATGTTTTTCTTTGTGCGATTTTAAACCAATTTAATATTTTTTCTTTTACTCTAATGTACATTAACATTTTATTTTCCTGTAATACATTAACATGCATGTGAATGATCCAATGATGATAATATTAGTGGATGAGGTTATATGGAGACAGAAACTATGTTGTAGCTGCTGATGATTTTGCTAACAGCAGAGCTGGACACAGTGAATTTACAAATACACTGAATAGGCCAAATATTCTTGGGTTTGGATTCTTTGTTACTGAATTGAGTATTTTAGGACAGAATCTAGTAGCTGGGAGGGTTGGAGGGGGGTAGAAGATGGTGCTAATCCCTAAGAGAGCAGCAGAACACCCTTCTAGGCCCTCAATATCTTAGTGCATTTTGACAAGATAGATACAGATGGGGAAAAGGGTCAAAATGCTTAAATGGGAAGCATGATGGCAGGTAAGATCTATGTTAGGTCAGTTCTGGGATAAACCGTACAGAAAAAAAATACTGAAAGAAAGAGGACAGTGAAGGACTAAGGTGAACAGAGATACAGATGAAAAGAGGACAATCATGGAAAGAGACATCATGATGGAGTGGGCTGCAGCAAACAACCAATGAGCACAATGCAGAGGAAAGATACTTAAAAGCACAGTGAGCTCTGCAAATGGTCCTTGTGTACTTGGTTTTCATACTAACGTCTCCAGAGGTCATAATTGCCAATTAATTCCTCTTTCCAAACTCACTGTATCTCTAGCTTATTCTTGCATTCATGTTTCCATGTGAAAGCAGTGGACAAAAAGGTCTGCCCCAGAGTATAACTCTCCCAGAATATGCAGGTCCTGCCTTGGGACTATTTATTTCTTGAATTAATGTTTACTGCTGCTTTGCTCCACACCTGATCTGCTGGGCTGGAACCTCTGGCTGCTTTGAGCTCTGAAGGTACTTGTGTTGCACCTTCTGCCTGTATATGAAACCTGTGCTGTCTTGTCAGCTTTTGTGTTAATAGGAATGTGCATAGTTCTCTGTCGTGCAGCTCCTGCAGAAGCAGAACAGTTAAGGGAAGGCAGGAGATGTCAGAGTGAATGCTTTTGGGCTGTTGCTGGTCCTAGGGTCCTACAGTCTTAAAAAGTAGCTTTTTACTTTCCCTGCAGTTCAGGGAGGTTACAGCTGGAGAGACAGCTCATCTCCTCTTCTGGACACAAACTTCTCTGTGAAGTGAAATGCCAGTGTTTCTCATCCATTACTCGGGAACTGGTGATTCTTCCAATTAGCCCCTTGCAATAAATTCACCAACCAGCTGGTGGATGAAACTGATGGGGAAAGGTATTAATACTGTTCTTTATTATGCTAATAAAGATATAGTCATAGTTAAACTATGGACATAATCTTTACAGAGATTATTTTGATAGGTGTTTTACCAGGTGTCCTGAGATCAATACTACATCTACCCCAGTCTTCCAAAATGTTTGTCGAAAATATATCACACTGTCTTGCTGGAGATTAACATAGCAGAATTTCTGAGCTACAAACACCATCTGAATAAAAAATAATAATTATTTATTATTATTTTTTTAATGGTGAAATTAGTTAAAAAGCTCACTGCCATGAAAGCTTTTGCCTTTTTTTTTCTTTGTTGTTAATAGCTCAATTTTGTAACTCTGCTTAGTCATTATTTATCCTGCATTCTGCTACTTAGAGTTAGCTTTTGGTGTTTATACTCTGAATGTATACAATATGCAGCAAAGTGACTGCTTTTGGTTATTTCTGTATCTAATTTTTTATAAGATAATATATGCTATCTGTAGCAGATAAATAGATATGAGAATAAAGCTGATTTTTCTTCTGTTAATGCTTTTGTAATGATAAGGATTTGATAATAAACATATTTTAAGGAAAAGCAAGGCAGAATTGATGCAAAGAACCTGAAAGATGTTTTTGATGTATGAGATCACAACATTGTGAAATATAGATGGTAATTATAAATTAGAATACCCTATACCCTTGATAGGGAAGGAGCCATGGGTTTTCAAGTCTTACAACTAGTCCAGGTCTTACAACTAGAATTGGAATTTGCTGTTGGCTGACTGCCCAAAATACTGGTTGAGCCAGCCCAGGATAAAATAGTGAGCATCATCAGAAGTCCAACAACTGTGTACAAGGAACTAGTAACTTAAATAAGTTACAGGCATACATAAAAAATTAAACTCTAAGGTGCCAACATCGTTGCCTGTATATTGGTACACATATAGATATCACAAGCTTAAATTCAGGGCATACTCTTTTGGTTTTGTGAAGTTGCCTACGTTCTGTTAAATGGGATGTCATTTTGATAAGAACTCAAAATATAATTGAGGTCTTACTTGTATTGCTTGGACATTAGAGTCAGTTTTCATCATTTTATACAATTTGTGTCAGCTTATATCTTGAACTTTCCTTTCTGTGGCTGTTGCTTTTCATTCCCTATAATAACATTCTTTTAGGTGGATGACGCTTGTTTATACATAAGAAAATTGGGTATACATTAAAAAAATGACTTATTTCATTGTGAAGACACACTTAGTGTAGTAAGATAATGAAAAGCAGGTAAAATAAAAATATCATGTCAGGAATAAAGGGAAAGAAAAAAAGACAAGGGGAATGGAAGAGTAATGAAGGAGATAAAAGAGAAAATTAAAAGAAATAACCTAGAATAATTTGAACAACTCTGATATGTACTTGGTTAAAGAGGGTTACAGGCGACGGCGTAGAGATCTGGATTAGTAAAAGATTGAGAGGTCAAATACAAAAAGCTCAGTGAAATCACAATGGAAGACCACAGGGTAGTAGAAATCATAGCAGCAAAGTTATCTTCCAAGGTAAAATTTATTCTGTAAGGAGTGCTGACTTGGACATGACAGGGCATGAAAGGTGTTATATTTATTTACACCTTCTGTATTCTGTTGCAGAGTTTTGTCAACAGAGATAGGTGTTGATTCAAAGGGCACAGCTGGGACACTGGATGTGTTACTGTTATTCATAAACATTATTATTTTCATTTTTAATACAAGGAAGAGGAAACAGAAGCCTGTTGGCTTCTGAAGAAATCCTGTTTTCACAAAACATATTAATTCAGTCAATATGTATACTGTTCAATTCAGCGTTCTGTTATGTTGCTAATTTGTGACTGCTGCAAAGGAGAATATTTCAAAAATTAAATAGTTTTGAAATCCTAGCAGGAATAGATTAACATTAGAATAAGGTTCTGTGTCCCGTATTTGGTCAGAATTTGGGCAGAAGCATTGTAGGGATTACTACCAAGATGCTTAGGAGAGTGATATTAGTGATTACAGAATCACAGAATTTCTAGGTTGGAAGAGACCTCAAGATCATCGAGTCCAACCTCTAACCTAACACTAACAGTCCCCACTAAACCATATCCCTAAGCTCTACATCTAAACGTCTTTTGAAGACTTCCAGGGATGGTGACTCCACCACCTTCCTGGGCAGCCTGTTCCAATGCCTCACAACCCTTTCAGTAAAGAAGCTCTTCCTAACATCTAACCTAAAACTCCCCTGGCGCAACTTTAGCCCATTCCCCCTTGTCCTGTCACCAGGCACGTGGGAGAACAGGCCAACCCCCACCTCTCTACAGCCTCCTTTAAGGTATCTGTAGAGAGCGATAAGGTCGCCCCTGAGCCTCCTTTTCTCCAGGCTGAACAAGCCCAGCTCCCTCAGCCGCTCCTCGTAGGACTTGTTCTCCAGGCCCCTCACCAGCTTCGTCGCCCTTCTTTGGACCCGCTCAAGCACCTCGATGTCCTTCTTGTAGCGAGGGGCCCAAAACTGAACACAGTACTCGAGGTGCGGCCTCACCAGAGCCGAGTACAGGGGGACGATCACCTCCCTAGCCCTGCTGGTCACAGTGTTTCTGATACAAGCCAGGATGCCGTTGGCCTTCTTGGCCACCTGAGCACACTGCTGGCTCATATTCAGCCGACTGTCCACCATCACTCCCAGGTCCTTCTCTGCCTGGCAGCTCTACAACCACTCATCTCCCAGCCTGTAGGTCTGCTTGGGGTTATTGCGCCCCAGGTGCAGGACCCGGCACTTGGCCTTGTTAAACTTCATGCAGTTGACCTCAGCCCATCGGTGCAGCCTATCCAGATCCTCCTGCAGAGCCTTCCTACCCTCGAGCAGATCGACACACGCACCTAACTTGGTGTCATCTGCAAACTTACTGAGGGTGCACTCAATGCCCTCGTCCAGATCATTGATGAAGATGTTGAAGAGTCCCTTCAGCTTCAAAATAAATCAATATCTTGTCTTGATGAAATGGAGTGATAGCCCTTTTAATAGTGACTGAGATGTAAAAACTAAGGATACGATCAGATATAAACAATCTTTTTCTGTCTTTTCAGAGACACTTTAATACATTTAGGCACCTGAATTCCAGTTTCAATGAGTGTTGAGACTCTAAATGCATCTTATTCATGTCTTGCTCTAACTCATTTTCTACATTTCTCTCATTGTTCAGTAATTCCAATTTCACTTGTAGTTGGGTAGTCTGAAGGAATGCATGGGATGGTATTACCTAGAAAGAGGAAGACAGTATTCTTTTTTGGCACTTTTTGTTTTTCACTTTGGCAATTTGTCAACTGTCACGCTGATTTACCCTTGTCCTACTGGTGTTCCATTTACCAAGCTGGAGGATGTCATGTTTGTGTACTGACTCTCATACAGATTTATACTGCTTTTGCAGACAATACTGCACTTGAAATAATTCCATACATACATGTATATGACAAAAAAAAAAAAAAAGGGAGGTTGACAGATGCTCAGCTGCAGCTTACTAGATAGCCTCCTTTAGTTTAAAGTTTTCAAGTTCTCAATACACTCAGGTTTCAGTGTTAGAATATTTTCTGAAATGTGACCTATTAGGATTAAGCATTACATGCTTTCCTTTTTAAATCCAGGAAATTAAATGTTGTTATGAAATGTCTCATTTCCATAAGTGTGGCATTTGGAAGGTGATAAATAGTTGAATTTATGAAGGCCATACTTCTATTATTTTGCTTATTAGACTTCTCAGGATATCTTTGCATTTATTTATAATTTTCTTCAAAGCTCTATAACATTTTCAGTTACAAGATTTTAATGATACAAACACACTGAAAAATGTATCTCCTTTCTTTGTACCTTGTACTATAAAGATACTTTACAGCTCCTTTTTATTTTTAATTTGCCTGTTTTAACAATTTCCAGCTATAATGCTATATTTGACAAACACATTCTGCCAAATTCTGAATAGCTTTTAATTCAGCACAAAAATCTGAAATCCCAATGTACCTGGCTTGCAGCTTGTCCTTTGAGGTCTTCATCTGGATCTACACCAACTCTGTTTAAAAAAAAAAAGAAAACAACATGGTAGTGGTCTGATGTATAAGAGAGCTTTGAGGATAGAAATTTTTCTCTTGTGCCACTCATTTCCTACTAAATGAACAATGCAGAGCAGCTGACAAAACATTAAGATCACTTTTCAAATCAAGAAGTTCAAGTTGTTACAAATACCAAGACTATTTAACTGCTGCTACTTGTAACAGCTGAGATTTGGTCTTCACCTAAGCTTTGATTCATATCTGGTAAAAGCCAACCAAGCCAACCAAGGAGGAATTGGAGTTTAAGAGGGATATGGAGGAGATGGCAAGACTGAGGAGTTTCTTGACTATGCTGCATCATAGATGGCTTGTAGCATTTGGCAGGGCTTTGTTTGGCACACAGAGTACAAGTGAGCAAATCAGAGGGCCAAGGAGGTTGCAGTGGGTGATGTGCAAGATGAAAAATGCTGGAAAACACTTTACTTATACGGACAGGGAAAAAAAATAATGCATTATTAAAGTGACATGATGGAAGAATTGGCATACTTTGAGTCCAGCTGATGCTCAGAACTGAAGAGAAATGCAGCTCAGAGATGTTACGAGTTGAACAACAGAGGAAGGCTTGTGCTGATGTTCACACCAAGAAAGGAAAAAGCAGAGAGTGGTCACTGGAATCTGAAGTCCACAGCTAGCAAACAGCATGTCTCACAAGCTCCCACGTATTACCAGTTCCACTCAGCTAACACAGAATTACTGGCATGAAGAAAATGTATTAATTCCCCAGATACTCATTTAAGGTCACTGTGCTGTTTTTCTGACAATCCAACTTTTTGAGTATGTTTTTGCTTCCAGTAATGTATTTTACACAAACATACTAAAACAATATGTTTTAAAATCATATTTAATAGTAACAATTACATACACAGCGTTCTTTTCTGTAAATATTATGCATAAACTCTTCAGTCAGAGACAACGATATGAACTACATGTGAAGTAGCAATTTTTTATATGTAAATACTTGATGGAAGAGTTGAAGGGAGGTTTGTTTCTGTCACAGCTTTTGAGTTTCAATGAAGCTGTGTCCTCCAGGCACAAGTATTTCTATGTTTTTATTAAAAATAATGATCCTGATACTGACTCAACAAGGAGACAATGAACAGCTATTTCTTTTCCTTTTTGTCCTGTTTTTTAAATTGCTAGAAGAAGTTTCTGATGGTACTAACCTAGTTTAGAGTAAAGGCAAATTAAGTATTTTCCATTTCATTAAAACAGAAACATTTACATGGGAAAAGAAACATACATGAAGGTTTAACCACCTGACACTGGATTTGTAGAGAAGCATGGTATTTAGGGCATTCTCTGTGCTCAGCATTGTGCAAAGCAGGCACTGAAGCGCTGAGTGTATGGCTTGGCGGCAGCAGGATAGGAAGGTTGCTACTGCTGGAGGTATGACTGTCCAAAACTCAAAAAGCAGGTCAGAACCAGAAAGGAGACTTGATTTTTCTAAACCCATTTGTACATCCACTTAGTAGACTGTGCTTATTCACTGGATGTGTTCACCGACATTATTTGGGCAATGCAGAAAAACACTGGCAGTACAATAGTTAAGGGACTGCACAGTTCTGGAAAAACAAACAAACAAGCAAACAAACAAAAAAACCAAAACAACACAGAGCATTTATGCATGATAGGTATAGCTGAAAGGCTACAGCACAAACTTCCCCACACTCTCTTCTCCTTAATGATCTTGACTTGACCTCAAAGAATCAGTCTCCTGGGACAGAAGTAATTTAGCCTTTGTGCAGTTCTGAACTTACTGGAGTTGAGAAACTGCCAGTTCTGACTGATTGTGTGTGTTGGAGTTGGGATGAGTTTATTACAGAATGAGCTAAGACAACAGCAAGCATTTCACCCGAGACTAAAAGAACTGTAAGCACGAATGCAAAAAAGGCTAGGCAGTGGGACCAACAGGAAACAGCTTCTGGCTGCTATATTATCTCAGCAACAGTGATATAACTGCTAACGAATCAGGAACAACAGGTATCCACTGGCACAGAAAAAATCTAGGCTTAAAGAGATTTGCAGAATTTGTTTTTTCCTGTGGTATGCTTAAGCTTCTCTGCATGTACAATGTTGGCTTCTTATGACTATACAGATAACTAGTGCTTCTGGCTTGTTTGTTCTGTACACAATATATTATTATAGCACAGATGAAGATATTCAAATGAAATTTTAGCGGGAGTATTGCAATATAAAGCCAGAAAAAACAGCAATAAGTATGTAATGAAATCACACTTCTGTCTTAGATTTTTTACAGATGTAAAAGGAAAGGAATGCCACAGAGCTAGAGCTGATGCTTTCTTTTTGGTCTGTTCTCTGCTGTTATTTAAAACAGGCATGGATGCCATCATCCTTTATCTCATGGAAGAGTATCTCATTCTCAGATAACACTGTCTTATCTACTGCAGTCCCTTGGGAAAAGGACCAGATCTTACTTTGCATTCTATGAGAGAGTCTTTTAATGTATTAGAATTAAAAACAAAAAAAGTAATAATTTAAGTGTTAGCAATTTTATTATGTATACACTAAGCAGACTCAGTTCAGTCAGTTCTGAAATTGAGGCTAATTATTTCATATCTAGACATAGGCTTGGAAGCCCAACATCAGGCACCTAGCATTGAAAACTATGATCTGCTATAATTTACTCTGATATAGCTGATATGAACTAGAATGCTATTTTTAAATTGCAAACATTGGAAAAACAAAGCATAGCAAATTGCATGAGACAGTCAAGACAACTGAAATTAAGCAGTTATGTGCTTCAAGTTTACATCCTTGACCTCTTCAGAAGACCTGCAGCATCTAATGCTCTTGCCACTAGAATCTGGAGACTTTGCCACTAGAATCTGCAGAATTTGTCTAAATTACTGTGAAGATCTCTAAGATCTCTAAGAAATATGAGAGATCTAAGATCTCTAAGAAATATTCAACTCTTAATGTTGTTACAAGCATCATTTCCCATTTAACATTCTCAATTTTAAATTTATGTGAGGAGATTTAATGGATGAAGTGAAAAATATTTTCTGAACTTAGTATTATTTTTCCCTACTTGCTGTTAACTCTGTTCCTTTTCTCCTGTCATCTTGTCTTACTGCTTGAATTCTCCCTGTTCCATCTTTCTGTTCCACTTCTTGATTGTGATTCCTTGTTCATTTCTTCTTGACTCTTCTAAAAAATGTTGCTTTTATTTCCACCTTTCTGTTTTGTACCTTTTTATTCTCTGTATTAAGCATTTTGAATAACCTCTTAACAAATCTATTTGGATTGATTATAGAGTAGACGGATTTTTCTTTGGTATAAAACAGCAGCTAAGAAAAAAATCTGACTTATTGAAATATTGGTATCACTGTGATCTTTACCTTTTCTTTCTTTCTTTCTTTCTTTCTTTCTTTCTTTCTTTCTTTCTTTCTTTCTTTCTTTCTTTCTTTCTTTCTTTCTTTCTTTCTTTCTCTCTCTCTCTCTCTCTCTCTCTCTCTCTCTCTCTCTCTCTCTCTCTCTCTCTTTCAACTGAAAACATTGCTGAAGATGACTTTTTGTGTAACAATCATTGTTTACCATGATCTGTATCTCTAGAAGACAAAGAAGCAAAGCAAAATCCTTTGCAGCACTTAACAGAAAAGATGCTAGGCAGATTATTTCTTTTAGGATTTAATACTATGTAGGCTTCAAAAGTGTTAAATGTGATTGGAATATTTTGCATGTCACAGGTGCAAACATCTGTGAAACAGGCCTATCTATTCAAATAAGGAACTTCATGTCAGCTGCTGGTTGTGATAAGAGATGTGGTTTGATGCAAGATAGTGGCATAGACAATTTGGTGCACTTTGAGAAAAACGCAAATTAAAATTATTCTAGTTTACTTAAAACAGCCTCCACAAGTTCTGCTTCCCCTCCCGTCTGTCCCATTGGAGAAATCTCTTCACACCCTCTCTGTTCTGGCTTGGATACCTTCTCCAGCCCAGAACCAGCTGAGATTACTTTGGCTGAAAACCCATACATTGCTTGGTTTTGCAATAGTATAAAGTGATTTATTCCTATGTTTTGAGAATTTGAAATATGGCATTTTACTGAATAGATTTCTCAGCATCAGCTTGTGATGGGTAGCTTTAGATAAAGTAGGAGGCCAACAGGACTGGTTGAAGGCAGCTGTAGGAAAAAGCAAGTTTTCTTTCCCTAGCAAATACTTCCTTTTGGTGGTATCTGCTTCTTCCTGTGTTTGTTAAACCCTTTCTGGTTTGGAGCTGTGATATTGACAAATAATATGAGTATTCGTGAATTTAGATTGTGCTTACTCTAGTTGTTGCTAGACAACAGAAGAACTTTTTTTTTTTTTTTTCCTACTATATGAATCAGATTGTATGAAGGGAGAATTAAGTTAAAAGAAACCAAACCAAACCAAACCACTTTTTTTTTTTTTGGGTGGAGGTTGGGGGAGGGATTTTGAAGAATATATTGGTAAGCTTTTTCATTTTTTATAGGCTTTCCTTTTAAATTTTATTAAAATATTTTAAGGGTATCTTTGCTGAAATGTACACATCCCAAGGAGTATCTAGGTTTTAATTAAACCAGTGTTCTTGTTTTTTCCATAGAACAAAATGCAGTGATGACTTTTTAAACAGATCTTTATTGCAGTGCAGTTTACCTCCTGTAAATATTTTGGTAGGCTTTAGTAATGGCTTAGATATCAAGGAACTAAAAATCCTGAAAGCTGGTCTATGTTGTTCGTTCTGTCTTCCTATAATGGCCAGATCAAAACCTGGATTTAGACATTATTCAGAGTTTCTGTATTCAAAACCTGGAGCTGAAGCTTGTGACTGCAGCCAGTTTCTAGCAATTAGGCCAGAGCGTTGCTAGGAACTGCGCTGGCCTGTGGAAGGACTCTTTGCACTTATTGGTATTTATATCCCCGTGTGCTATCAAGTGCATCTTTTTTTTTTTTTTTTTTTTTTTTTTTTTTTTT